TGCTCGCAGTTCTGAGACACTGGCCCAGGGTGCCCAGAGAAGCTGTGGCTGCCCCCTCCCTGGAAGGGTTCAAGGCCAGGTTGGACGGGGCTGGGAGCCCCCTGGGCTGGGGGAAGGGGGCCCTGCCTGGGGCAGGGGGTGGCACTGGGTGATCTTTAACATCCCCTTCAACCCAAACCAGTCTGTGATTCTATTTATACTGCTGTGTATTACAAGTCAGTAGGCTGGAAATCACCTTAATTTCATCATTAATTTGATTTATGAATACTTCCTACCCAATCCAATTTCAAAATTTGTGGGTTTTTTAGATGTTTGGGTTTTGTAAACTTGGGGATAGTTTAGGCTGAGATTGGAGATGGGGTTGCTGAAGAAGGAAGAAGCACAAAGGAGGTCTCCCCATATATCCAACTCCTGGATCACTAGATTTTGTGTAGGGTTTGTCTTACCGGTTCTTCGTCTGCCCACTCTCAGGAAAGCTCCTGCAGATGGAGACCACACAAAAGCCTTAACAAATCAGGACAGGTTCCCACTTCCCAAAACCTGCTCAGCTGGGACAGATGCAAGATATGTGGAAGTCTCTGGCCTGTATCATGCAGAAGTTAGGTCGTGTTATAAATCTTTGTTTGTAACATATCTTATGGTATATATATAAAAAAGCTTCCTACCAGAACCTCCTTGCAGAATGCCGGCTTCTGCAGAAGCGTCCTTGCTTAAGGACAGCGACGTTCCTGTTCACGCCTGCACCAAAATCCCAGTTAATACACTATCAAGCTTGTTTTCAAAGCTGTTACATTATTAAACCTTCAAAAATGAAGTTCATTATGAACTAGAGGACTGTACACAGTAGCTATTCCACAGCACCAATCGCCTAGTACAGGTTTATCCTTGGCTTCTTCCAAATCCCCGTAATTAATTTTTTTTTTTTTTTCAAAGGCCATCAATCTGAAGCAGACAGACATCAAGAGAGTCGATTCATTAACATTCCCATATTTCCACTTATCTTGGGCCACTTCTTTTCTTATTAATAGCTAGTAAGATTGGCATTTCTAAAAATAGCCAACCAGCGCTGGAAGCAAAACTCCAGGGAGCCCTCCCAAACCCCATCAATCCTCCCAGCAACACTTCGGAGTCTCGTCCGAAAGTCTCCTGAGTACACCCTGGCAGTTGGCAATCTCCGAGGCAGGCCATGAATCAACATCCAATATGAACTAAGAGATGCTGATTACTCAAGTAATTTATTACTTCCAGGGTGACCAGAAGGCTGCTTACACAAGGAAATTAGGATACTTTAGAGTACTGTCAACTGTGCCCTGAAACTTTACCCCTGATTTATGTGCCAGCTGAGTTTCTCTCCCCTTAATGTTCTTCATCACAGGTGAATTTAACACTGGTATGATGCATCAGACTTACTTTTAGAAAGTTCTGAACCTCCCTTTTCTCCCTAACCGCAAAAGGCGAAGGCAAGAGTAGCAGTTTCCTTCAGCACATGAGCCAGTGTGCTCAAGCAGCACCAACAGACTGGGAGATGAGTCACCGACTGTAATGAACGATTTTATCTCTCGTGGAGACTACAGAAAACAGGTGGTATTAGTTTAATTTCTATTCACAGCCTTGCGATTGTGGATTCCTGGCTGCTGCAGTATGCTTAGGAGAAAGATGTTGGGATCAGTCACCCCAATCTGATTATTATGGTCCTACTGATCTTAATCAGGAGGCAATCATGAATTACTCACTTGTTTCCCATTTACATGTTTGTATCAAATGATTTTACAGTACTGCCTGACAAAGAATATAAAAATGCGAACACTTCACACTGAAATATGCCACTGACTCACTGCTGAGGGGGAAGGAATTTTAGCCCTCCTTGAAGCAAGAAACAGGCAAGTACGAGACACGACACCTGACCCACCGGAGGGGACATCTGCATTTGCAGGCAAGTGAAATAATGTTTAATTACGAGTACTGACTAGGTTATACGTGGGAAGGAAGCAAGCAGAGGCAGAGGGGAAGATTTTGCTGAAGTCCTCCAGGGAGTCTGGACAAAAGGAAAATTGGGACTGGCAGCTAACATGCTCTGCCATGGAGAAAAGAGGTTTCTAATGAGTGAGGCTCTAATGGACACAGCCTGAGATGTCAGGAAATGTTGAATACTACCTTGATCAGGATGGGCAGCAAATCAGCTGGACAGGAGAGACGCCATTTCCAATGTAACTTCACTAAAAGCAGATTAGTCATATGGTGGGGCTTTTTTACTTTCTTTCCTCTTTTTCATAACCACTTGTAACTGTATGGCCTGTTTTGGATGTTGTGTATGCATACTTTCATCTGAATCTACCTTAATTTGGCTTGAGTTAAATGCATTTCCAAAGCAACTTCAAAACACTCTTCAATCCAAGGCCGTGGCAAATAATCAGCCAGAGCCTCCCGGCTCCCTCTAGACTTATCCACCTCCCCAAATTCATTCCCTAAAGGGTCAACGGGCCCCCCCCCAGCTGCAGGAGCTAGAGATGGGAATCTGGCCCCACCTGCCTGGAAAAACAGGAATATCTTCAAGTGATCAATAGCGCAGAGCAAGGCTCTGGCATACAGCAGGATACCAGGGGGCACCCAGACATTTGGGGTCCCTAGGAAATGGGCTGTCCTAAAACAATCAGTAGGAAATGGCCCGACTCAAAGCCAGGGCAGGGAACAGTCACAGATGATCACAGAATCACTGAATGGTTTGGCTTGGAAGAGACGTTGAGCTGATCTTAGAGACGAGCCCTAAACTCTAGTCAATAATGAAAACCCTTCACGCTGTCCTATCTTCAAATCATCTCATAAAATCATCATCGTGTATCTCATTTTGAAGAAATCAAAGAGTTTGCTACTTAGATAGAACCTTCCTAAAAATTATGAGTACAGAAATTCAACCATCCACTCTGTTACTTTGCTAGCGGGACCCCCCAGAAGGTTTCAGCCTCTGGACTAGCACTGCCCCACACAGCTCTCCGGCAGAGCACGAGCATCAGCGGGGACCAGGGGCCGTTCCCCAAAGAAGCAGTTTGCATGTTCTGGCACTGTTTAGTTGACTAGTACTGATGTAGCCATAAAGTGCAAGACTGGAAAATACTGTTGAAGAAAGGACACTGTTGAACAAAACACCGCAGCGAAGCATTCATAAAAACACGCCGTACTGATGAGCTAGAGTTCTGTAAGAGACATCTTCAAAGCAGATCTCCCTTACACACTTCCATCTAGAAAGCAGTCAAAATTGTGCAGTATGCTGGAGATGTAACCTTGCAGCGGGTACCCAAATTAAAAATCTATTTTGAAACCAAACTTAGCAAAACCAAGTTCATCTTCCAATGGAGAAAGAACTTCTGGCTGCATTTTTATTTCAGATAAAACCTACAGGAGAACTGAAATTCAAGTGGTAACATCTCCAAGGAAACAGCTGGAAAACTCGTCGTCTTTGCAGATGCTGTAGTATTCTGTATTCAAAGACAAATTGTGCTATATTGTACTTTGCACTCCAGGGGGGGGAAAAAAAAAAATAAAAAGCACAGACAAGGTCTTAGCAAGATGCCACAAACCGTGTATGCAGCAAAACAAGACTTCTTGCACTGGATCTCGATGCAAAGATTATATTCTTCACATCAGTTTGCTAAAATACAGCTAAAATTAGTAACATGAATGCTTTCAACAAATTATTTTTTAGAAATAATTAGCAACATGAATGCTTTCAACAAATTATTTTTTAGTAATTTCTGTATGTTTTCTGTTCTTGTCAAAAGAAGCATTCTTTAGCACAGAGGAATCACGACTTCCTCTCTCCACACATACCAAGCCGAGATGCTACGAGCAAAACCAAAAGAAACCATTTTCATTTCTGTGTCTCTTTACTGAGGAGCGACGTGGTACGGACAATGTCTTAGCCATACAAAATTCCCAGTTCAAATTGACACCCACACAGCAGCAATAGGGAAACAGGATTGGCATATGTCTCAAGCAAACAAGAAATAGGGAATCTAGAGAAAACAGAATTATCTTTAAGCACCTGGCTACTGCCTGCACGCTGCCCTCACTCACACGTCCTTGCCGAGACAGCCCACTTTGGCTTTTCAACATCCAGGGACATTACAGAGCTGGAAACACACAGAGAAGCTCTTCACCTCAGCACTCAGCAGCTTGGATCAAAGTTGTGGATTTCTGCTTTTGGGGGTTTTTTGGTGAGGCAGCAGCAGCAGATTTTTTTTTTTTTTTTTTAAGGTCTATATTACAGCTATTCTGTTTAAGTCCTCCAGCACACATTAATCTTATGCCAACCAGAGCTTCTTTTCCCATGCAATTCACCAGCTTCCCCAGTTATATAACCTGTATGCCTGCAAAAGCTTTCTGTGGCTACCATAACCGCTAATATAAGATGAACTGAGACACAAAGGTGGTCCTGACCTTGATTTCACTCACAGGCAATGAACTGATGCCGCTCTTCTTAGTCACAGTGCCTTGAAAATGAAATAGGAGAAAGGGCTGCAGCTCTTTCTTATATAGCTCCCTTCTTCACGATAATGCTTAATGTATCCTAAAAGCACATCTGTCCACCCTAATGATGGTACTTGCAGAAAGACTCTAAAATGGAGGCTGGCAATTTTCTATCCTCGTAAGCTCTGGAAAGCCACCCTCCACAATAACAACCTGTGACGGGGCCAAATCAGTGAGGTCAGAAATAGCAGTTTTTGGAGGAGGAAGACACCCATGGTCACGCAGTCTGTCTCCTTCAGCACTAAAGGCAGGATGGTTCTCCTCAGCGTGTCCTCCGGTGTGCTGCGTACAATAATAGTATTGTCTGGACAAAGCTATGAGGGCATTTGACTCCATTATGAAGAAGCATCTGCTGATGCTCATTTTCTACCTAATATGATGAATGTTCACCATAGTGGCGTGGGCTGCAGTGGGTTTATTTTCAGATTAAGATATATATATATATTAAAAAAAAAAAAGAGATAAAGCAAAGGTACCTGAAATTACAGCAATTTTCCATGACCCATGCTCCTCCTTGGCTATTCTTTCTGCCTCCTCCATTAGTAACATGCCAAATCCCTATAATGAGAAAAATAACAGGAAGAAAAGATAAGTTCTGTAAAAATAGAAAGCATAAGCAAGGTCAGAATGTAAGCATTAGTACAGCTCCAAAAGACTCATATTTTTGGTACAGGAATGATCCTGTAATCAGGAATATTGCAGGAGAGGGCTTGAGGTATACCAACACTAAGCTTTTGAGTGGAGCTTTCTCGAGGCTATTTTTCTCTGATCATGAAATTATTCATAGACAGTTCTAGTGTCTGACGGCTGCTCAACGGCAGGAACAGAATGAAGTTAAACCCGTTGATGGTAAGTCAACTTGGTAGGCATCCCGTAATTCCTGGTGCCGAACAAGTCGATCCTGCTGAGAGAACCCATCCTAAACAATCATCCACCTTAACAGCCACCTTGCTAGACCTGGGTTTGGGCTAGTGAATTAAACAAAGCCAGAGCCCAAATGCCAGAGGCAATTGCCTACGCTGTCGAGTTGCAGAAGGATCCCAGTGCCGTTCTGACCGGGGACATCAGTTGAAGCGGATGTGGCCAAGCACTACAGACCCAGACCCTGCCATTGTTCACTTTTCTGATACACAGGCTGCCTTGTTGCCTCATACTTTTTATTTCCACAGCCCCTCCAGGAGTCGGGAGCTGTTACCGCGCTCGTTTCAGGATGAAGAATTGAGGCACGCAGCGACCACAGGGCTTGTCAGAGCTACCCACAAAGGCTGCGTCAAACCGCTGCGTGACCCTTGCAGACCTAGCCTAGGCTCAAGCTCTGTGCTGCTCTCCTAGGCTCAGCTCATGACACAGGAGATGCCAAATCAAAAAGAATTGTAGAAGAACACGTTAATATTCTGGACCAGATGCACGCCTCTATTTACGTTTGAAAATCTTGCACAACGGGAGTGCTACAGGAATCACAATAATGCCTCAAAATAAAGGAATAGCCTTTCCACTCTATTTAACAACTTCGTTGTCCTATATATCTGGAAATAATTGATTGGATTAATTCACTCCTAACATTAGGATGCAGGAATTATACTCGGCTCTTTGTTCATCTGTTTTCCTGACAAGATGTACAGAATGAAGCTGTGGTGACACTGAAGCAGCTGTGATTTAATTCTAAAAAACATTTAACGCTTACAGGCATTTTTAAATAACACATAGGAATCTTCATTCTAAAATGTCCTTCTAATCACAAATTGCCCTCACAACTGTGAAGAACACTTTCTGATTAACCTCTTGAACACTGGCTAGTCCGAATGAACACGAGTGCGTCATACGCCATGAAATTTCAATTTGCAGCCTATTTAAATATTTGTACTTGGCTACTTTCAACTGATTCTCTTTTTTTTTATTTATTTATTTTAAAATTTTTTTTCTTCCAAATACTTAGTATGACCACCTTTTTCTTCCTAAATTTTTAAGTGTTAACTATTTTATAGTGGAAATATCCTCTTCCCCCAAACCTACCCCTGAAGCCATTGCCTTATGGCCACACATCATCAGCATCTAGCAAAACTGCATCTTAATGCATATACTCAGGGAAATATTAATAAATACAAGGAAGTTAATTTAAAACGTCAGCCCTGAGCACTTCTGGCAAAGAGGACAAACTGATTGCTTTTTTAAAAGCTCAGACTAAAGGTTCAAAACCTACCAGGGCAAAATTTAATTCACATTTTTGCTCACTGCAAGCCACAGCATGTTACGTGCAGTAGAAGGATAATGTGCCATTTTCGTACCAGTCACTGCAAGGAGTCAGAAACACAGCTCTCCACTCCCGTCTTCACACACCTTAAGATATATATGAAATGGTCTCACAAGTGTGTCTGAAGCAAAAACTGCCTGACCCAACTAAGGGACTTTACGTGGGAGTCTCATGAAACCACATAAACCAGTAAACATCTCAGAATCAGTGCTGGATTTCTTCTGGAAGAATGTATTCAATAAATGTTCCTTTGAAAGAAAACTGGGTAGTACCAAACAAAATCACATCTTCCCATATGTGATTATTTCAGATTTCAGAAGTGAAATTCATCTACTGAACAAGATCGATTTTAGAAGGAAGTAAAAAGACACACTGGATGTATCCCCTTTGTTTTGATTTTACTCAGTTTACAGTCAAGTCTGATGTACCATACAGGATAGCAAAGGAAAGATACTTCAGAACCAAAGATGCTTAGTACTCAGAAATCAAATTAGCGTCACCATACATGAGTTTGTATTGTACAAGCATGAAGCAACACTGACAGCATTCAGCCATGCTTTTTTTTTTTTTTTTAACCACAGAACAGTTGAAATTGTCTAAACGTGATCACGCTAGCAAAAACTCAGCAGCAGCATGATTTCAGCAGGTGAAATGCAAGACGGAGCTCAAATTCAATTCTGTTTCTATTGCAGTGGACTATAATTCAAAGCAACTGAATGAATCTCAGATACTAAATAAAATTATTCTCCAGTTATATTGAGGAGAGAGGAGGAGGGTGCAAGAAAGATGCACAGATGAAAAACAAAGATGGCTTGGAGTACCTGGTGCTGAAATTTTGAAGGATCCCGACTGCTCACGGGGACCACGCTCCCATACACGTGCAATTCCCGGACAATGGAAACACCTCCTTTCAGCTCAGGTCTGAATGTCTCCTCTGAACACTTCCGCAGTCGTAGAAGGCCAACAAGAATATCCTGCTCTGGATCTTCATAGGACAGGAAGGTCTCCCAGCCACCATTAGCCACATAATCTCTTCTAACTAATTCAATCTGGTCAAAGAGAAGAAGTGATGATGAATACAAAGAGGGAAAGAGAAAAGAAAAACTTCTTTAAAAATATTTAAGCAACACATTGAACAGACCAAAACCAATTTCATGGATCCATAAACTATTATGATTCAGAGAAAACATGAAGTGCTTTCTTAAAGGCCAATTTATTTCTAGATGGATTTTAAGAACTGCTGTTACTGCAGTCGTATTAAAGATAAAACATCCGACTACTTTAATAGAAATGTATTTGCAAATGGGACAGAACTAGTCTTCTATCCCTGTTTGCAAGCTTTCAAGAAGGGCCGGTAACCCACATGGCTACCTATTTAAGTCAGAAACCTAAAACCTGTTTCTTGTGTTACTCCAGTTTCATAATCACTGCAAAATCAATGGGGGCAGCAATTCTTGACTCCAACCCAGAGACTTGCTCTAGTTGAAATTCAGCTCCAGTTACAAACTTCCTAACGTAGGATGAGTAGTTTTGCATCTGCTCTCACTAAACCTGCATTTAGAATCACAGACTGGTTTGGGTTGGAAGGGACCTTAAAGACCATCTAGTCCCAACCCCCCTGCCCCGGGCAGGGCCCCCTTCCACCAGCCCAGGGGGCTCCCAGCCCCGTCCAACCTGGCCTAGAACCCTTCCAGGGAGGGGGCAGCCACACTGTAAAGAATTTTGTCCTTACATCTAATCTAAATCTGCCCTCTTTCAGCTTAAACCCGTCCCCCCTCGTCCTACCCCCATCCCCTGACCCAGAGTCCCCCCCCCCCCCCCTCCTGCCCCCCCTTTAAGCCCTGGGAGGCCGCTCGAAGGGCTCCCCGGAGCCTTCTCTTCTCCAGGCTGAACCCCCCCAATTCTCTCAGCCTGGCCCCCCAGGGGAGCTGCTCCAGCCCCCCCAGCATCTCCGTGGCCTCCTCTGGCCCCGCTCGAGCAGCTCCGGGTCCTTCTGCTGTTGGGGGCCCCCGAGCTGGCCCCAGCACTGCAGGGGGGTCTCCCCAGAGCGGAGCAGAGGGGGAGAATCCCCTCCCTGGCCCTGCTGCCCCCCCTGCTCTGGCTGCAGCCCAGGGCACAGGTGGGTTCTGGGCTGTGTGTGCACGGTGCTGGCTCACGTTGAGCTTCTCATCAACCAACACAACCAACTTAGGTCCATGTCTCTATAGCTGTGCAAGAGAAATGGCTTGAAATGTCTACAGAACATCGGCCTTCTAAGCCACAGTCAACTTCTTTATTAATTGCCAATTAGTTCTTTCCAGCAGTGCACAGGATCTACCTACATGAGCAAACTGTAATGCAACATGAGTGGATCTGAAAGAGTTGGTGTTGATTGAGTATTGCATTACATGCGCATTACAAAATCAGCAGGAAGTGTTTTCTTACTCATTCAGATAGTACTGACAACACCAAAACTATCCAGACAAGTACCCTGAGAACTCACCTGTAACAACATATTACTTGCCTCAGATCCAATTTTTGATAACCATCTAGACAAAGGCAGCTCTGACGATCACAAGTAGAAGAGAAAAAAGTGAGGGCAGAGCTGACTGACTGAGAAGAATACAATAAAGACCATGGTTGGGTAGAAGAAATTACTTCTGCAAAGCACCTAGAAGCTACGAAGAGTAATTGGTGGATAAGAGAGCAGAAAGAAGAAAAAAAAAATTCTTTTTCAGACAGTCCTGATTTACCATTGTCAAGGAGCAGCCCCAGGACCCAAGATGAGAGTCCCTTCTGGCAACATGAGGCCTGATCAAATCTCACCTAATGGTAGCTGTGTTTATATGCAGCAAGTAAGCACTGAGTTCATTTGATGCAACCTGTCGCCGATGATGATAATGTCACATCTTTGGTGACATTGTGAGTCACTCTATTTGCATTTGGAATTGATATGGTCTAGCTGAAATAGCTGCCCAGCTTTGCTGTAGGGACTCCCTTGCCCACCTGTAACAACCAGCCGCTAAGCCAACCGAAATGATTTCCCAAATTGCCTGCCATCATTTTGACAGACTCCTTTAACTTTAGGAGTTCAAACATGAATAGCAAGTGTCAGTGGATGCCCTGTGCACCAGCACTGCACTGGTGTTTAACATTTACATCCTGACAGTACAATATAGGACTGATCCCTGTGTATACCTTGCCACGCTCTTCCCAGTACTACTCTAAAGACTAAAGCTAAGGACCTCAGTATTTTTTCTGTAAATCCTCTAATACCCAGAAAGCCATGAATTAAACATTTGTTTACAGAAAAGCCATAAGGGATTCTGTCGCCTGCCTGCTCTACTCCATGACGAAGCCTGGGTGAACACAGCTCACAATTAAATCCCTTACTGACTACAGAAGCAAGGCTCATTTCAGCACTGACGTACAGCTCACGGGGTAAGTGCCCAAGCAGATGTCTGCCAATGTGCCAAGTTCTCCAAGAGCACAACTTGTGTGTCAGGACGGCTGACACACACCGATCCAGATCTACCACTAGGTACATAATGCCACTAGTAAAATGGAAATGTACAGGAAAATAAAAGAGCATGAGATTTTTGAAATACCCAGATTCTGCAGGTAGTGTCATATGTGGAAAAGCAGTTAGGTTAAAGCTCACTGCTAATGTATAAAGAAAGCAGAAAATATTATTAAACATTGCTATACTAAGAGCTCAAAATGGCAAGATTGGAGAACTCCTGGTTTCTCCTGAGGACAAAACAAAACAAGTGGAAAACATGGCTCCATTGCTTGTCCTCCAGCAGGGACTAGGTGCCGTGTTATACCCACATCCAGTCCAAAAGCCACTTGCAGGCAGAGATGAAGCAAGGCTACACCAGGAGGCTCGATATTGTGTGCATTTCTGTAGCATCATATGCCCATACCAGATAAGTTGATCTGCTCAGAAAAGCCCCTTCTGAATCGAGTTTTTTGTTCTCCCCACTTCCCTGGGCACAGAGGGTCCTAGGACACATAAACCCCTTCAAAGGGTTTTCAGGGATTCATGAGATGTACGAAGCCTTTTCCTTCTGGGATAATGATGTAAATGTGGCAAAACCATCCTGAATCACCTCCTGGTCAGTTGGTGCAGTCCCCAGTGTCAGTAAACCATCCCGTGTGCTGGGTAAGAAGAACCCTCATCAGGGTGGATCACCATTTCAGTAGGCAAGCCTATCAAACGTCCCGCACCGCCTGTTTTAAACTTACTTTGACAAACAAAGGGAAACCCCAGTTGCAGATGGGTGAAAACTTAAACCAGCTACTCCCAGCTTTAAAATCTGCCTTATTCCTACCGAGGCTCTATACTGAGATGATTATCTTGATACAAAACCACTCGCTCTGCAGGAACAGCAGCTTCTACATCTTATACTTTCTGCTTTAACACTAATGTAGGTTCATATCTGTAACGGAGCTGTCATTGCCCTTCGCCTTTCAAAAACTGTCAATTCAACGTCTCTTTACAGCAACAATTCACTAGAGCATTTTTAAGGCTATTACGTAGCACTATGCAGCCTTAACCATTCTGAGAGCAAGCAAATACCTTCCGCTGCTATGGAGAAATGCCACTAATTGAAAAGGCATCTTAGAGATAGCTCTCTAAATAACCAGCTACAGGCAAGTAATCTACTTCAGATTGTTTAAAAAAAAAAAAAAAAAAAACCAAACCAAACCCAAAAAAACTAAAAGCAGACACACCATTGCCATTATAAAAATACAGCCTACCGATCCTTAACAGAAAGAAACTGCATAAAGTGCAACTAATTACAGCAAACGATTAATTTATTTTAGATCTGACATGATAGCCTCTCTTATCAAGAAGATGCGTTGTTTACTTATGAAGCCAAGAAAAACATCATACCTTGTCATTAGTCTAAAGCGCATGAAAAATTATACCATCTTCAGAATATTTCTCTTGCTCGCTGTCATGATAAATTTTGCTAAGACTACATAATGACATCCTCCTGCCACTCAGACAGATGAGTTTAACAAAGGGAATTTTCAACATAACGTTGCTTTGAAAGCCCTGTGATAAGCTATTTGCTAACTACTCAAGAAATTTACAATTTAAATTAGATTAGCACTGCTGACAACAGACATCTTTGGAAGATAATTTTGTGAGATGACCGCAGATTAGATAACAGGAGCAGAGCACAAAGGCTGCATGGCCTATGTGCAAGCGGGTCCGTACAGCCACAGCTCTTGCTAAAAATCTAATCAGAACAAGGTAATTTATTTGGAATTGTTATACATTTATATACATGATATCCAGTTATACTAGATTTCTGTTATGCAAGATGGGAAGTACTGCACTCCATCTGAATTCTCATAATGGCAGGGGAAAAACAGAATATGGCTTCTAGTAACCTCTGACTTGCGAAGCGAGAACATCTTTCAGGTGCTAAACTCTGAGAATATTCGTTCTACTCAACTTCTGGCACCAAACTCAGAGCCGCTCTGAAGCCTCAATTATCAGTGGAGCTTCCAAAGCACAAGTGAGGGGACCTCTGTTAGGGATCTCTCTCCGTGCTGACACACAGAAAGCCCAACCCTCAGTTTAGTGGCTCACATTTAAGAAGCAGGTACGTGTCCGTTGCACAGAAGAGGAGTGAGGTATGTGTCATTCTGAATCAGCTTCCTACCTGGGGGTGGCAGTATCTTCTGTCTGGCAAAGAATTCTTGTTTGAAAGTAAAGGCAATATATGATGGACAAACTCCAGAATCACTTCAGTCCCTCCTTAATGCCAGCAAAGGAAGGGGAAGAGAATATTCCAGGGTATGCTGCATTAGCCACCGCATACGGGCACAGGAAGGTGGATCAGACCCTGTGTGATCTTAGGAAGCTCATCTCCTTGGGTGCCATGGACCTCCTGACCACTTTCGGGAAGGACTGATCCCTCCTTGTGACTACAGTGAACTGGGAAATTAGTTTCCTAAATTGGATACTTGAAGTTCAGCAGTGAATATTTTCCTTCCTATAAAATACGCACAGCAATCTTTTTGTGGACTATTTTAGGAAAGAAAAACACAACATATGTGTCATAAGCTAAATGGATCTACTCACATATAAATATATACATACATGTGCAGAAGTGTATTTATACATATACTGTTTGCCTACAAAACATGCACATTCACAAAAAAAATAGGCTGTAAATTCATCCTGCTAAACATTCATTCCTGTTAAGCATGCACACAGAATATTTTCTAAATCCAAATTTGTAATTAGGAGGAAGAAAAGGCAGTTATTTTGTTATAGCCACGCAAATACCAAAATAACTGCTGGCTGTAGTCAGTTTATTGAACATGGTGGTCCATAAATTCCAACATGTGACTGTGCTCAAACAAAAAACATACAAAGCTGCTGCAAAAAATAAATGGAAAATTGGATCTAGCGACAAAGGCAAACCGCAGGACTGGATGCGCAACAAATGGGTCCCAACGCCTCCACACCAAACACGTATAACAAATCGTGTCTGAAACAAGCTCCTAGAAAAAAAGACAAATCTTACCTGATATGGTCTCACTTTATGGTGAATTTCTTGAATTCCAACCTCTCTTGTCCTTACATCACGACACTAGGAAAATAAAAGGAGGGAAAAAAAAAATTACATAGGAGAAAAACATTAGGCTCTGATACATACAGATTTCCAGCCACCTATTGGGTTCAAAACTAAACTGAAATAGCATGAAGTTGCGCAGATGAATTTCAAATGGGTAGACTTCAAAACAAAAATGCTCACCGATCCATCCCTAATATACCTCAGGAAGAGGTCCTAGTGCTAAATGGAAAGACATGCTGGCAAAAATCAATTCACTAAGCAACCATTATGGCTCATGAGGAAACGTACCCTTTGATTCACAAACAGCAGGGTCTGGAGGCAAAGTCAACATACATTAAAAAATAACAGAGAAAAAACCCCAACTTTGGTGTAATCCATTTTTACCCTACATTGGGAAGGTCTAACACTGGCAAAATTTATGCCAAGGCACCAGCAAGTCCTTTAATATCCAGTTTTTGAACCTCAGCAACCCTTTTCTTGCATTTAAATGAGGACAGCTGCAGAAGCCCTACCCAAATATCAGAAAGTAAAGCTAATGTTGATCTGGCACCTACAGAGCATCACCAAGGCTTGGGACCAGTGATGGAGAAAATAAACGACAGCCAAAAGAAATCTTCCCTCCCTTAGCAGTCAGACAGAGGAGGAGATGAGGTTCCAAGCTCGGTGCTTGAGAGATGGGTTACAGTTTGCATAAACCTTTGTGCTTCTCAGTAAAGCCAATGAAAGTCAAATACTCTGGCACCCATTCACATAAGCAAACAATTGTGATAGTATAAGCACTCCTACTGTGGGAGACTATGTGCATTCACGTCTTGGTGGGTTTATTGGAAAGTCCAATGCTAAGCTTAACCCAACTTTTGTCAGCAACATGCAGCCACAGTAGTTTTACCCAAAGCAGCTGAGTTGCAAATGCTCATTTCGTTCCGCTAGCACTACTAGATGTGGAGGCAAGGGAGATAACCTCCACCAACGGGCTAAAATTGCTTTAATAGTAACAACACCTACCTGCCCATGTATTTCCAAAAAGCCAGACTCTTAGACAAGGAAAGAATGTGTGAAAATCCAATTCACACAGAAACTCAAGAGTACGCAGAAGAAGCAGAGCTCTATCTCATGTCCTGTCCTTCTCTGAAGGCTTTTAAATTCCATTATCTATATAAAGCAACAATCTCCCAAATAGCAGAAAAAAAGTGATGGTTAAAAAAAAAAAAAAAAACCAAACAACAAAACCAAAACACAGTGGGCTATGGTAAAATCAGGATGCAGTGTCATACCAGAATCCTTGAGTAGAGAAACTCTTCTCTGCTTTACAGTTTCCTAGCTACATAAACAGCACAGTAAAAGGCAGAGAAATGTCCACCTTTCATTAAGAACCCCAGAACTGAGGAAGGTCAATGTATTCTGGGATGCTGCTTTAAAATTTCGTGTCCCGACTGCCTATCTCCACTTGCACTCAATGGCTTGCGACCATGAAAACCAGCATCTGCTCCCTCCAACAAGGCTCCTCGAGAATAATTTCTTTCCAACAACCACAGACACAAGTTGCAGTGTTGGCATGACTGATCCCCATCCCTCAAACGCACTCCTCATCAAGCCATTCCCCAAAGATGGATGCCAGAACTGCCAGAGCTGGTCAACTGGCTGATTTTTACTATCGAGCCTGCAAATTTATAAGATTCCTATAAATCCCTCCCTTGCTTTGGTCTTTTTCTCTCCTTTTCCAAGCTAAGAGACGAGAGGACAAAGCATATTTATAGCTTTCTCCTATGTCACAAGAAAAACACAACAGTACCTCACATTTCAAGCTATATTGCAGCAGAATGGTTCCTCATTCCACCAGCTGCAGTGTTTCTGCCTCACTAAATTAAAATCTGTAATCATCTGCACAGCAGAGATATTTACAGATTTGGTTCTACTAAAAGCGATGACTGCCAGCCCGACAAGCCCTTTAATGGTTCAGTTCAGCCCTGACTGCCGTGGATCAGCCATCCCTGCTTCTCCAGCTGGTCTTGAACAGGTTCAGATCAAATGATGTGGTTTTAGTATCAAACCCTGTGGGAAGAGTTCACTAGTAGCCCTAAAGAGCTTGATTGAAAAGCTGCACCACGGAGGTTGTCTCCCCTGCTTGGTTTTGAAGTGAAAAATCAGCGGGAGGGATGGAAGCTTCTGTGGATGGCAAAGCTGTCTGCCAAATCCTGGCTTGCTGCTGGAGAGAGACTGGAAGGAATGATTTAAGAAGAACGTCCAGGGCATCAGCTTAGGAGAGATTAAGTGGTATGGAAAGCCCAGCTGGAAGGAAGACAGTCTGGAGTTTCTTTTCTGATCTTTTGCACTGCAACTGCAAGACCCAAGTGCGATGGCAAAGGCTGCAAGGAGTTAGATGTAGCCTAGAGAACTATCCATGTTAAATACCAAAAATACAGGTCAGATGCACAAGTTGATGTGGCACTACAGGCATACACGCAGTAGCCAAAGACTTTATTTCTGGATGCAGTAATGCCTTAAAAGCTCTTTAAAAAAAGCTGAGCTAGAAAGAGGGAGCGCTAAATCACAATATAGACACATGGAACAGTTGTTGCAAAGATCTGCCCCTGCGTGAACCCCAGGACACGAAAGCAATTAAAGCCCTTTGGAATAGTCTCAAGAAGCATGGGATTTGTGTGATGTTTTGTCTAGGAAGTCAAGACATCCCAAGGAAGAAAGAAGTTGGGCATAACTTTACCGGAGGATCTGCAAACTGTGGCTGATAACCAGGTTTCAGAGGGAGGTTCAAACGGTGAGCAGTGTCACAGCAGACCATGAGGGGCACTGTGAATGCCAACTGCTGCAGCCATCTTCTGAGAAAAATCAAGACTGAGTATATGTACCACCTCCTGACTTCAAATACAAGCGTAGTTCCTCCCTCCCCCTCCTTCTCTCCACCCCCATTTATATTTTTATTTGGCCTTAGAAATATCAAGAATATCAAGTCTCATTTGTTTCTGCTGAAATCTCTCTTGCAAGATTTTTCCGGCCTCAGACTAAGTGCTTTTCTTCCAATTGTTCAGTCAAGTAAGTGCATGCGTGGGAAAAAGAAAGGAAGGAGAATTTCTAATAGCATAAATTAAAAAGAAACCTTCCTGCTTTCTCTCCGATTTAAGAGTTTCATTCTGCTAAAAAGCAGAATATCACAAACTAGTTAGCAAACACCTTCAGGAACAAGGTGAAAGCGCTCAACTAAAAATCAACTAAACAAAAACAGCCTTTCAGAAGTATCATCAAGGTGCTTTTTAGTCATTAACAATTTTTTGAAAGACCTTTGATGCAGATGGTTTTAGTTCAGCAGTAAACCTGGCTCTCATCGTGTCTTCTAGTTATTACTTTCCTCTCTGCTACTGTTTGTAAAGTCATCAAGCAGCTCTCCCTCGGTACCAATTGACAAATATTTTACCTGTGTCCCAAGATCTTTCATCCTGGCCAAGGCAAGCTCTCTCAGGTTCCCGTGCTCCACTCCAGAGCTAACCAGTGGCATTGGGATATCTCTGCATACAAGAGGAAAAACAAAAACCTCAAACAACACACTACAAAGCGCCATTATGGTCACCAAAGCCCAGATCCCAAATAGCAGACCACAGAACTTACCTGAATTACCTTTGTTTCAAGTCTTTGGCTGAACAAGAAGTAACACAGGCAAACACAACTAAAAGCAGGAGAAAAATGAAGGGAAAAAGCTACCGATTTTATTTTAGTAAAAAGATTGAAGACAAAAATAGGCTTTTACAATCCTATGAAATAGGTGATAATTTTGCTTTCAGTTCTTTGCTTGGAAGTCTAGAAAAAAAAGGATCATCCAGCCGAGCCTGTGCTCTGCCTAGGGCTCCAAGTCAGATGTCCTTCATGGCATCTGTTGCTGGAGACCAACACTTGGGAACCAGACCGCATCCTTCTGCAGTCTCCAAGTTGAATGCCCATCAGGGAAAATTAATCAGAATTACAACATTTTTATCTTGCGAAAAGTGAAAAAGTTCTGTTTAGCAAATGATTTGCAGCAAAGCCCAGCCAGAAAGTCTAGGGCCTTCCTAGGGGAATGTAAATCACGAGTCTGCAAATGGCAGAACTCCTTCCTTCAGTTCTCCAAGAAAAGTACTAAGATAAAATTTGAAAGCACGACCAGGTTTGGCCTCTCCGCTACCTTTCCAGGGCAATTTGTCCCACTAGAGATTAGAAAAGCACGATACCATCCCTTAGGGAAAGGAGGATTTATGCATCCAGATCAAGCTGAACAAGAAACATGTGTCTTACTGGCACATCCCACTCCACACACACACCTTCCATCTAATGCTGTGCTACACAGGGATGTCAAATGCTTCTCCCTCCCCCTGCTCAAACCCCACCCTGGCACCTCTGATAACACACCACCCACAGGCACTGCTGTGTCAGCCAAAGCCCCTCGGATCTTCTACAGGGAAAAAAAAGACTATACAAGTATGAAAGATGCCCAGTAAACCATACAACAGGTCAGTCTCAAAACCGGGCTCAAACATTCCTCGGCGAATATTCCTCCTTTGTCTATGCAAAGGTTCAACAGAGTAAAACCCAGAATATCACAGAAAACCATACAGAGAATGGGATGGTTCAGGGAATTGGTAATGTAATTAGCTTAATCCATGTTGGTTCAGTAGTGATTGAAAGTCATCACCATCTAGCAGCTGTCTGATGACCTCTGTAAACTGTATTAATTGATCTATTTAGTTCCTTGAGGACTTGCATTCACACCATGGCCCTCATTAACAATTACTGGTTTTGGCAGTAATTGTATAAAAGATAAAGGTCTTCAAGGGTCCTAAAGACCCGACCCTTGTGCTGCTTCAGCCTCGTAGAAGTCTGACACACTGGCAAAGGGGGCAAGAAAGGGAGTTTTCCTGTAAAGAATGAAAACAAGGGCTTCAAGACTCCAGGATTCTCCTCCCATTTCTGCATCGCACTCCAATTTTGGCACAACTTCCTTCTGCATAATGGAGACCCTGTGTTTTACTTTCCTCCCGTTTTCCCAGCCCTTTTTTCTATAAAGCCAAAGGGCCTATGAAAAATTCCTCGTCTCTTACGCTCGCATGCCAGAAAGTTGAGGCAAAATACAATTAGCTAACCGGTTCATTTATTGGGTGGATTTCTTTGAGTAAATAAGACACTGCAGAGCCAACACAACATAGTTTAAAGACCTTCAATTAGAGGAAATGGGCACTTCCCATTGTGACTGAAGAACACAGCAGAGGAGAACAGCATTTTCATCAGGGTATGTTAGATCTACAGCGATAATCTAACTAAACGCCTTTCTTCTAATTATGGAACAACTCCAAAAAGTCAGGCTGTATGTATTTTCCCTACAGGGACACAGATAAAACATCCTGACATCTTCCAGTACCAGGTCTTTAGCTAACTCCAGAGTCAGCTATGAAACCGTAAATGAAGTACTGCAAATAAAAGACAGATTACAACATACAGTAACTTGAGCCTCTCTCATTTGCCTACTAGGAAGCAAACAAAATTAAAATATGAATGTGAAAAATAAACTTTTTAAGAAATCGAAAGCAAGAAATAGGTTTCCCATCCCCACTTCAGATTAGGGCAAAGTATTTAAGTAAGTATCCTGTGTGCATCATGAGACACTAACTGCCTATTTTGAATAGCCACAAGACAGCATTGTACCAGTGATTTTTGGACCTGTTAAAATGCTAAACAAATTCAGGGATACGGGGGATTAAATCCTGACCTTATTAAAGTTAACGTGCAATTTGCCAGAAGGTTCAACGAGGCCTATTTAATCTTCTATTTTTCAAACATTTTGCATTACTTAAGACACTTGTGAAGCAGTTGACTGAAGCACAAAGTCTAAAGACCTTGAGTCTGCTTTCAGCTCTGATTTACTAGATGATCTCGGTTGAGTAACGTATTTTATTTCTTCATACCTACATCTCCCCATCACTACAGTGAAAATTGCATTCATATAAAACACCAAGATCCATGAAAGAACGTCTCAAGGTGCGTGGCACTACTCCTGTAATTTCACACTTTCTCGCACATCAAAGCACTTTGGTGATAAATACAGTATTAAGCATCTCTAACAGTTACAAAACACCTTGGAAGATATATTCTCCTCCAACCAGTCATTAGCAACGGCATCTATTTTTTTTTTTAAAAAAAAAAACATATTTAACCTGGTTTCCTGAAGCAGAAAGACTTCTACAGTGTTTTGTCAGTGACACCTCTTCCATGCTCACCCGAATCAGTTAAACTGATTATCTTGAGTGTGTGACAGGCTACAAAAACATCGAGTCCTTTATGTTGCCTCAAAACCTGGCACTAATGAACAGAGACTCCAAATAGTGGTCCTGGTAAGGAAGGGCATAGACAATTCAGTCTTTTTCTGGTGGTTTGCTAGAAAACCACACATATCAAACAGCCAGTCATTATGCAGAGAGCTAGGGACAAGCTGCCATCCAGGGCACAAGCTGAATCTGAAAGGATCGTGGAAACAGAGCCTGAAATGCAAGATGTGAAGGATGGAGGACTCATGGCAGCAGGCTGGAAGGAGGTGGAAAGGCCCCAGGACAGCAACAGAGAAAGGGAAAAATGTTGCTGTCCTCAGCGACACAGTGCTGGGAACAGGTCAGAAATGTTTTTGGAAATCTGGCTTTATTTATTATTCTGTTACAGAGTCACACAATGGCCCTGAAAGCAATTTAGATCAAAGTAATAGCTTTTGGACTTTGCACTGGAGGTGTAAAAATCTGTAATCACCACAAACAAGTTTCAGATAACACGAGCCAGTCAGTAAGAAAACAGTTATTCCACTGGAACATAATAACTGACAACTGTATGACAGCTTGATGGAGGCTGCTGCTGTTGACAGATGAAACCAGTCAAGCTCAGGCAAACCAGCACACCAAGCAAAGACTCTTCCAGGTCTGAGTTCCTCAGGAGAAGGCCTGCCAGGCTGCAAACTCATGCCGTCCTCTGAGAAAAACCTGTTCGTTTTGGACACGATGCTATGGAGATAGCATCTCACGAACAAACAGGCTGTTGTGTCTGTAGTGGAATTAATGAGGAAGATGGAAATGTGCAGGGAGAAAAGGTAGGAGTTTTGTCTTTAATAATGCTCCTACAAGCCATGTGAAAAGCTTGGGGGAATATCAAGTAGAAATTTCCCACAAGCCGTGTTTTGCTTTCTTCATCAGTACCACATCCTTCTCAGAGTTCGGCTACAGGCACCAGTTTCTCACAGTGACAAAGATCTGAAGACAGGCTCTCCTGGTCGCTGCAACTGCGCCTCAGTTCCTACAGACTGCTGCATCACAATCACATTCATAAGCCGAAACAAGCTTCCCCATATTCATTATTTAGCTTTTTTTCCTCTTTTGTAACTTTGGAAAGCTACTCCAAAATCTCAGTCTTAATTGAAAACTCCCAGCTTCCTGCCTCGTTTTATGCAAGGCTATTTCTTACTTTCTTTCTTTGCCCAGATCGATGTTCCTATTTCTTATGAGGTTATATTCCTTCTCTCATAGATTACAGAGGTCATTTATGTCCACATCTGTCCTTCAAACAAGAGACTGATGCTTTTCTGCACACATTTCCACAGTTTATTTCCTTGAAGATGGGGATTATTCCAGACAAGATCTTACCAAAGCCTTGTCTGGCTGATGCATTAACACTTTCATCTCTAAAAAGAGTTATCCTGAAAAAAAATGCTTTTCATGGTTGCATTCACCAGTGGCTTATTCATACTGCAAACCAAGACGCTAAGAACTTTTCCTCCTCTGCTATTTTCACGTGGTGATCTTGTGGTTTGCAGCAAACCCCCTGCTCCAGAGTCTGACCTCAAACCTCCCTGAACTGCACCTCAATCCCATCCCTAGCACTCCAGCCTTTGCCATCACCAGACCCTGCTTGTGCATCCTCTCTCCCTCTCTCTTTCAGTGACGCTTCCCAGCCCCGCAAGGCTTCCTCAATGCCCTATTACTTTTTGTGTCATTGTAAATACAATTTTGAGCAACATTAGGTTTTAAATGCATGTTTGAGAAACTTCCACTGATAAACCCAGGTCCATCCTTCCTTTGCCAAAGCTACCCAGCATTTCTTGCCTTCAGCCTCCTTCTTCTCTACCATGTTTCTCTGCTTATCCCCACTCAGTCACATTTCTGATAGGGCACAAAATCAAATGCCTTAGAGATGTGGTTTAATGCACAAGGCTTTCTCTTTCTGCCTGCTCTTGGAGAGCTAGGCATTGGCACTGTTTCCAGCTCATGTAGCTGGAAGCCAATGAAGTATTGTCTGCACATGCAAAAATAGGCAAGTATGCTATAGCCTCCCTTCCTATTATCATACAGATTTAGGAGATAACAGAAGAAAAATAATCCAAGGAAGACCCCATACTGAAAAAACAGTGCTAAATGAAGTATTATCTATCATCCTGGGAGGTAAATGCCGGAAATAATGACATGACCATAGTACCTTTACAAAAACCCGGCAACACCCACAGGGAAAGAAAGGAAGTCTCTATAGCCAAAAAAAATTACACACCTCGCAGCTCCTGCAATAAATACAGGAAACTTCACCCACAGCCAAGAGGCAATTATCCATCAATATCATCAAAGTACTATGCGTGCTGTATCCTTTGCTGGTGTCTGGCAGCAAAAGCGGGGCCTCCAGAAATCTTCAAGTTTCTGGGTGCATTAGAGAGGCAGTTCAATTTAAATAGCTTCTCATTCTACCTGGCCTTTTCCATTCTGAATAGATAGGAAGCAGTTTTAGAAATCTTTAGTGCGTTAATGATTAAGTCTGAAAAATAACAAAAGGCTCAGTCAGATCTTGCTGTAATTAAAGAATCCCTCCAAGTGCAATAAATCAATATACAAGGCCTACCACAGAAAATTACCTCTGAACACGGTACACACGTGTCCACGGTGGGACAAGGGCCAGAATTCTGGCCACCAGATCCACAAGAGTGCTGGGGGGGTAGCTCTTGTATCTTCCAGTCTTCCAGAGCTCGTACAGACCAGTGCCACGGATGACTAGTGTTGGATACAGCTTCATGCCGTCTGGGCGAAAAGCAGGATTCTCAAAAAACTCCTGTGAAAGCAGAACAAACAATGTAAGTCACGGCAAAACAAACTACATGTCCTGGGACTTCAGTGCCCCAACAAAACTAATTTTGAGACAGATTTTGTAAAAGACTATTGTAAGTATGTTTTACAAATTATTGGCTTACACTGAGTTGCCAGTATTTATCAGTATACAATATTTTTTTAAAATAAAATGGTATGTTCTAGATTTAAAGAGAAGGCCACTAAAGAAAAAAAAAATCTACGACAATGCTATAAGTCAAATCTGTACCTTACTTCTACCTTTCAGCATGAATACAACAGCTATTGCACCATTTATTGTAACTGACTCTGCTCAGAATTAGAATAACAGAAATGAGTGTACTTATCTTCAATCTCAGCAGACCACATTTAGAGATTAATCAATGTGTCTGGGACACATCATTTGAATAGCAATGAAGAAAAACAGATTTATTCTACAATGATGTTCTGAACAATCCTGGAGAACAGGAAGACAAACAGTATCTCCTGCTAACTCCTATGACTAAATCCCAGCATAGAACTGCAGATTGAACAGCACTGGCTCACACTACGCAATAATCGCATTGGGTTTTTTTGCAGACTGACAATTAAAATAAAACCGCTCACAAAAAAAATAAAAAACCAGGCAAGGCACCCTGAACCAAGCAACCATTAAACTGACTTAAATGGTAACATGGCATGCATTATAATAGCATCTACAGGCCAGATCCAATACTGGATTAGACTGCTGCACACTTGAAATCTACCACTTGATCCCTCCCCAGGATTGTATTCTCACAGTAATAAAAAAAATACTAGTTAGTTAAGCTGAGTTAATGCCAGGCTACTTGCGGCCCCACCAGCTGCTGCGCTAGCTTTGGTACTCACCAGCACTTTGCCAAAGTGCTTCAACACATTTGTGTGGCCCAGAACCACTCAGACATTTTGCCACGTTTCTTACAGCCACTGCGTGTTAAACCAGCTCCCGGAGCGCTCCAGCAAACCTCGACGTTGGAATAAAGCACCACGAGCAGAGTGGTGGGAGCTGGACCTCCCCACCTGGGCACCTCTGAACAGCTCCCTTGGCTCCCTGTGCTTCACAAAACCACACCACAGCACGATAAAAAAAAGCAGCAAACGGTTTGCAGCTACGCTTAAGCACACCAAAATGGATCTGCACGGATTCGAACGCATGCTAGATCCAGCGCAAGGACGGGAAGAGGCAAGCAAGGTCAGAGAAATAGCAGGACCACGTCAGCCCAGGCTGTTTCTGGCAGGTTCCATGCCTAAGCCCGGGGCCAGCTCCAGCAGCCTCTGCCCCGCACGCCCACACTCCTGTGCCACCCTACCTGCTGTGCGGCTACAGAGAAAAACAGACCGGAGAGCTAACCCTGCTGAAAAAAGAAACCTGTTAAAAACATATCTTTTCCAGGCAGACCAACCTCCTGAGCCGTTTATACACGCCCTCATAAACATGGAGACAGGGACAACCGAGTCACTTTAAGAGACAAAACAAGACCTGCACCGTGGATAGAGTCCACGCTGCTGCTGCAAAATTAACTGTCAAATTCTGCATTCGTGGCCTGAGGAGGCTTCAGCCATCGTCATCCCAGCAGCGCTGCTGGCTTAAGGAGCAGTAAATCCCGGATGGCCCCACAAAGGAAAAAACAACACAAAGGTGAGGTACTGGTTTTAAATTTTGTAGGGTTGTTTTAACTCGGATCAACTCACTGATTTGAGTTACCTGCAGCCTCGCAAAACCGTTGTGCCAAAAGCTGCAGCTGCCGAGAGAACCTTATCCAGGCACAGCTTCATTGGGCTCACCTTGTACAGAACTGCTAAACAATTTGGTTCTCCACCCTCACCCTCCAGGAGGGACAACTAAAACTCATTTCTCCTCAAAGAGTATCCAAGACACAAGACCAACCATCCCAGGCAGGTAACACACCTTGTATCCCATTAGGCTGCATTATCTGTAAAATAAATGGTTTACAAGGAAGTTGGCCAAAGGCAGATCACTCTCTACCCCAATGTCAAGGTGCTCACTCTGGAGTGTGTGTAGGTATAAGGAGGGTCTCCTCCTTTCCTGAAGACTGTTTATGTATTCCATAATCACTCCCGTTCGTCATGAATCTCGCACGGGCACCACAAGATGAAAAAGCATACTTATCCTGCCAGCTCCATGAAATAATAAAATCTTCGCCACCACCTCAGAGGACAGGACATAACTGACTCATTCGGAGGCACTCTGGGCTGGTTTGTGCTGCAGCTCCACAGGCAGCAGTTGTGATGGCTCCCTGCCCACGCTCCCAGCCGGGCCATCCTGCTCCCCGACCTCGTGGCAGCTCCGATTCCTGACGGACCCTCGACCAGGATGACCCACCTCACTAACTACTGTGAGAAAACCCAACATGCGTTTTGGGAAGAGTGCTTTTCTTTCGTTTCAGCGCTGGGCTGGTTTACAGAGCCAGCTACTGAGCACCACTGATGAAGAGCAGAATATCTCAAGTTGGAAAGGACCCGGAAGAATCATCAAGCCCAACTCCCAGTAAGGAAGTAAGGTCAGAAACAGGATCTGTCCGCATGTGACAGCAGGGGACCATTAGGTCTGCCTAATGGTATTCTCTTGGAAGTGTGTCCCCTCCCCTCTGCCCTAAGGGTTCAGTTTTTTACAGGTCAACACAGTTGCTGGTGGCTGTCCGAGAAGGCAGACACGCTCTGCCCTTGGCTGACCACTCTTACCACTTCTCCCGTGCTGGCCCTGGTGTGCATCTGATGCTCAAGATGCAAAGAGGGGGGAAAAAACCCATTATTCACTGGACTAATTTTCAAACCAGCCGGCTGAAGCAGGTGTGTCATCCAAAGTCATACAGCATATGAGGTAATGTAGGGTCAGAAAAATAATTCAGAATCCTGTTGTCCTGGAACAACCCGAAAGGACAGACTTACACTTTCTGTAGGTGGCTAGAGGTGCTCTAATGTAAAGCAAAGCAACTGTGAAAGAAGGAATAAGAAAATCATGCAAGAGGTGACTGTTCTAATGAGAGGAGCTCTATGGCCAAGCAGCACTGAAGAAGAGAAAGACATTAAGGAAGACAAGAAAAAGACATTAAGACAGTAAGGAAGCAATGATGCTTCCCCAGTGAGATACAGGAAAGAAAATAAACCACTCCAGCAAGAAAAAAAAAAAGGCTTCCAGTAAGGTTATGTATTAATATTCGCAACAATACTGAACTGAATGCAAAAGCATTTATGATTCACCAGCCAGAATATTTAAACATTCACTGATTTACATTGCAGATTAAAGGCAGGCATCATCACAGCACTAAGGTTAGTGCAGTCAAAGGCAAGGTCAAAATTTAAGGTTTCTAATCACACTGTGAATTTTGTCACTTCATGTACACTGCACATTTTATGTCAATGTATTAAGCTGGCTGATAATGCTACTTCACATTTCAGCAATGCTGGCATTAAAAAAAAAAATCAACATATTTTCGTATTTATTTCTTAAACTCAAAATATTCCTGAAGTTTAATTTTTTCAAAAGTAATTAATTTCAAACAATGTAACAAAGCAGTGTCTCCTTTTTTTGGTTGAACCCCTTTTTCCAGCAGTAAACTTTAAATAGTTTCTGTAAATCCCAATATTTAAAGGCTTAACCTTTTCCCATTTACAAACAGTTTTGATTAAGTCTGTTGTGAAACAAAGGAACTATAAAAAGCTAATGCATGCCAAGCTTTAGCAGGAATTGTAGCCCTTTCTTTTTTTTAATTAGACACCTTAAAAGCTGTCTTCGACTGATAAAAACGTTCGGAACGGTTTACTGCCAAAACAAATTCAATCCCTAAAACAACATTTGTTCCAGAGACCACCATCCACAGCACCACTGGAGTCAACAGGAGGATTTCCAGCAGCTCCAGCACGCACTCAGTCAGGGCTTAAATCCACATCTGCTAATGCACTGTGAAGTTAGAGGTTAAAGATGACCTAGAGAGAAAAAATCCTCACCTATTTCCAGTCGTTTTGAATCATTTGAGGATGCACCGTAGTGCTCTCGCATGCCTCAATATTCCAAATGGAAGCACATACAACTTCAAAGCTACTAAACCAATTTCTTTGAAGTTTTCTCTCCTCTAGCTAAAAACTGTAAGCCAACTAGCATTTAACATGTCTCATATAATAAGATTATCGTGGTGGTTTAATAGTAATAAAAAAAGGTTAATTCAGATCAGCTGAAACTTGGTCTGGAGGTTCACATACATGGACCTTTTCATGCCCTAAAATAACTTTTCTCATAGCCTTGCACAATTTATGTGATATTAGAGACAATTTCAGCACTTTTTCTCAGTAAGTAATGGAATGAATAACCAGAGAATCCTGGAATTCACCTTTTTTTTTTTTTTTTGCTTCACCTGAGCTCCATTAAACATACTTTACTCGTAGGAACAGCTGCTCTGTGAATTACAAACAATGAATCTTAATAAGATCCCATCAACACACATTCAGGCTACAAGGTTATACAAGTTAGCCACTAACATGTTTTATGAGAACAGTAATTGATTTTAGTAGCATATGCCTTTGTTGTAGAAGTTCCCTGGTATTAAAGCTAATGGCATCCATAGGATCCATTCATCCACCACCTCATAAACTCACTGCCACTATGAATAATCAGGGTCCAATGGGTGTAAAATTAGTCATTCAGATGCCAAGAAACCACTGATTTTTTCCATCAAGGCAGACGTATCAAAGTGCATGACAGAATCCTTTTGTCCAACTCCCATCCATTGCTTTGAGCCTTAAAAACTGCATGACACTGTAATTACTGTCCGAGAAAAAACATTAGTTGAACACCAAAAGTTAACGTAATGCTGTGTGAACCAAAAAATGATCAGAATAAAGAGGAAGCAGAATCAGAAGATGACGTCCTGAACTCAGATATTTCACCTTTTTAAATAGATAAGCCATTAGTCACCCACTTATCTGTTTAGAGTTGCAAGAGAAAGGCCA